GGGAGGAGGAGATGATGGAAGGGGAGAAGGAGAAAGTGGAAGGGGAGAAGGAGAACATGGAGGAGGAGCAGGAGGCCCATCATCATCTTCTGCTGCAAGACCCAGGGCACCTAAAAGGAAATCGCCTGAAGAGCTCATGGCTGCCATGCAGCCACCTGGGTGCAAGTTTGGGCTTTCTTACCAAGACCATCGATTTACATCTACTTGGAAGAACCCGCGCAAGGAATTGGACCCACCTTACAGCCAGAAATCTTTCTCCAAGACCTTTTATCAAATCAGAACATTTGAAGAAGCCATCAGACTAGTGCATTACCACAACTGGCAGAAGTGGCAGAAGCTGCAAAGCCAGTATCCACTTGAAGCAGGTCAGGTTTCCCAAACACCTGGAACTGTGGATGAGAGCATTATAGAGCAATTGAGGCCCATCATTGCTGAATTGCAAGAAGTGACAAGGTACACTAAGGACTGAAGAGCGCCTTTGAAAAAATGCACTCTGAGACTCTGGCATGGTTTGGAAGTATGGGAGAGGCATCTTGGCCTTTGAAGGGCATGTGGCACTTCTGCCAGGTTAAAAGGTCTTGGAGAAAAGTGGGTTCTGCAGCAGTGGGTGTTTGATTGGGCCTCTGTGTGGTGCATGCCTGCTGTGACTGCAGTGGGTGTTTGCTGGAGGTTTTGCCTGGGGAAGTTTGGTGTGGACAGAGTGGGTGTGTGATGTGGTGCTTGTTTGGCAAAATGCTGTGGCAGCAGTGGGTGTGTGATGTGGTGCTTGCTTGGCAAAATGCTGTGGCAGCAGTGGGTGTTTGCTGGAAGCTTTGCATGGCAAAGTTTGCTGTGGACACAGGTGTGATGTAGTGCATGTTTGGGCAGAACTTAGAGCTGTTTTTGGTAGAGAGAGGGGCTACCTACTATGGGTGGGTGGGGGGGCTGATGCTGTGCTTGAGCAAGATGATGCTGGCCAAGGCCTGTGAATGTTTCATAGATGCCTAGGGCAGTTTTTTAAACTTCATTTTTTAACTTCACACTATAAAGGTATCATCAGTGCAGATGGTGATTGTTAAAAAACAATCTTGCCCCCTGAGCCCTGCAGGTGCTCTCATTGGTGCAGACTGCTGGAGTTGTCTCAGTTTGGAAGAAAAAAGGGTGGAGCTGAGCAATACTTGTGTATTTTTTCAGGTGTGTGTTGAGAGAGGGAGGTGCCAGGATAACTTGGGAATCTCTCAGTTTTTTACAGGACAACCAGGGATCTAGTCAGATCCCTTATGAATAGCAATCTGTTGAAGATGTACCCTACTCAAGAAGCCCTTGATGTTGAGCAATGAAAAGACTCAAAGACTCAAAGAAGAAGAAGAAGGAGAAGAAGAAGAAGAAGAAGAAAAAGAAAGACAAGGCGTCGTCTTCGAGTCACCGGAAGGATAAGGAGAGCAAGGTCAAGACCCCGGGGTCAAAGAAGGTCAAGGGCTGAGGGCGAGACGACTTCATCAGCCGCTTGGATGGGAAGAAGCCCAAGTCCGCTGAGGGCAAGACTGGACGTGAGGGAGAAGGTTCGACGCAGGGTGGTGTGCGAAGCCAGGCGGGCGAAGGAGAAGAAAAGCGGCAAGAGCTATTCGCGGACTTCCGGCATTTGGAGCGACAAGAGCCCGAGCGAGGTGGACGACCTGGCGGAGAACTTGTGTTCGACCCGGACTCGCGGGCGCGTCGCATTGCGGAGATCTGCTCTGGAACCCTGGGCCTGGCTGTGACGCGGGGAATCTTGCTGCAGGGCGTCGGGATGCAGCAGTAACAAGGCAAAGCGACTGCAGCGCGGACGAGATGAGCGTGGCGCGACCGGAAGAAGGGGAAAGGCGAGGGCAAGGGCGACAAACAAAGAACAAGCCCAAGGAAGACAGTTTGATGGCCCTGTCTTCGGGGGCCTGCAGGCTGTGGCAGTTGAGGGGCAATGCCAAGACGGTCTACGTGCTGGAGCTCGGAGGGCCCGAGCAGTGTGTTGGGGGAATTGCTCCGAGTCCAATGCTGATTGCTATGCCGGCGGTGCTGATGGTTGCCAAGTCAGGGCGCCCTTGAGGACAGCTGCTTTGAGCGGCTGGGCCCTTGTTGCCACGGACATTCGCGCGGCGTTGCGTTTCTGAATGCTCCTCATCGTGACAATGGCAAATGGGTGGGAATGGAAATTCACTCCGTGTACCACTAGAGCCCAACCTATGAGCTCTTGCTTGGACGGGGCCTTCCCTGGGCTTGGCTGGGAAGAGCCAATGGTTTTTGACCTGAGCATGGATGCTAGGCGGTCAGGCGTTCTGGTTTTGACTTCCTTTGGTTCTTTTAATCGACAAGCTCGTTGCGAAGTGAAACAAGAGTGGACTGCTTTCATCTTTGGTTCACGCGCCCGGTGGGAAAGATGAAGCCGGTTGACGGTTTGATTGGTAGCTGTTTGTTCAATGCTCCCTCCCTCCTGGAGCAGGACTGGTCGGGACATATGGTTGACGTCGTTTGCCACGTCGTTTGGACGTCGTTTTGACGTCGTTTTTCCTCACTCAACCGGTAATTTCCCAACGATAACTTTCACACTGCGCCAGAGAAAGAGAACACCGTCCGACCGGTTGCCGAATTCTACGTGGGAACATTACGTTCCCAAGCCAGCAAAGCTGATAGCTTGGGATCGTTGTTCGTCAACGCCCCGATGGTTGCTAGCAGCGGAGGGCGCAAGGCCTGGTTGAGTGCAAATGAACACAACCGTACACAGCGCTTTGTGCCAGCCCGTGCTGTTTTTTGGTCTTCTAAGAAGACTTGACTGGTTCCAGGCTGAGCAAAAGAAGATAGCATGTTGCAATGGCGGTGACATTGGGGTTTGCGCTTTAGGCATGACATAGGTATCACTTTCGCAAAAAGCGGTGCTCCCCTGTACCTTGGCCATGTAGGTGATCTGTGCGACGCAGATCCGTGGGCCGGGCCTCATATTTTTCAGGTTGCCAGTGTCTGTTTGATTGAAAAAGGGCGGAAACATGTGGGCCCATGGCCTTCCCTTTTTCTTGTCTTGGCAGGCGCGCAAAAGTAAACTTACTTCAGAACATGACTGGGCTGGTTCGGTTAGTGTCACTGCTTTGCCTGCCCCACTTTTTTGTGGCTCGGTGGCGCTGTGGTTGCTGGTTTTTGTCCCACCCGCCTCCCTAAAATTAGGGGGTGTCATTGTCTTCCATCAGTGATGTTCCACATGGTCCATGCAGGTGACCTGTGCAACACAAAGCCGTGGGCCTCATACCCCCAAATTTCTATAAATTTCAAATCTCTGAGGCTTTGCAGAGTGGGATCTGAGACACCCTGTTCTCGGTTCCTTCACCCTTCTTTAGTTTTGAGACTTGTGGTTGAGTGAGCCAAGTAGGCCCCTGGCCTTCTTTCTTGTCTTGGCAGGTGTTCAGCCGGGATACCGATACCATTAATCAAGTAAATTATTACAGCTTCCACATCAAGCAACCCTTGCTATGAATGTCAATAATCTAAATTTCCCAATGCCCAAGTCGAGCCGTTTTAACCCTAGTACCCAATCTTACAAACGTTTGACCCTATCTAGTCTAAGCGCTCCAAAACCAAATTCCGATGTTTGCATACTTTGGACACGTGTTTCTTGCACCTGGGCGGCTGCTTCTCCAATTTTTCAAAAAACCGCCTCAGCGAGCCAGTCTCCCGAAGCAGAAACACTTTTGAGAGCTCAGCTGCGGCCTAAGTTTAATTGTGCTAGATGTTGTTTGCTGTAGTGGGTTGTGCTGACTTCGTTTGCAAACATTGCAGGATGGTTCTCTTGGTTTGCTTCAGCTAGCTCCAACATGTAGTTTTGGTGACGTTTTCTTTAGCACACCTTTGAAGTGCTGACAGGCAATACTGGGCGAAACTGCGTCACAGGTTCGGATTTCGGCAGTTGACAGTGCCAAAGTACAGGTGACAAGGGCAACAACGTGTAGGGTAAACGGGGGGGTTTGCCCCGACAGCAGCATGCATAGGGCTAGAAAAGCATGCATTTTTTTTTGCCTTTCGGGCCACTCAACTTGTTGTCTTGGAGTTCATGAACTCCAAGACGAGGACTTGAATGGGTTTTCAAGACACATAAAATCAGGTCTGCTGTCCAATCTCTTCCGTTTTTTGCATCCAAAAAAGGGCCCGGGTCAGCCTGCTGCGAAAAAATCCCTCAGATGCTGATTGGGGAAGGGCACTTCAAACCAGACAAACGCAACCAAAACTCTAACGACAAACACAAACAAAACTCAAGCGTGGAGCTCGCCATGTCCTCTAAACCGAAAGTGTAACGCGAGTGTCGAGTCATGAAGCTGAAAGCGCAACGCGAATGTCGATTTACGGGAGTAGTAATGCGAACGAAACTGTCCCCAGCCCCACACCCCCCTGAAAACCATGTTGGGTCGACGGGAAGGTTTGCCTTCGGGGCAACCCCCCCCCGTTGTCCCAACGTGTAGTATTGAGTCAGATTTGAAGGTCACAATTACTATCAGAGACAGTTGTTTGTTCTATTCATTGTACTTCAACTGCTACTGTCACATGCAAAATATAAAGAACACTTGGGTGTACATGATCTTTTTTTAGCCGGCAACGCAAACCTGGGAGCAAACGTCTTCAATGTCCATTTAAAGACGCCAAAGTAAAGGACCAAGGATGAAAGGCTGACAGAAACTAAAATCCAACATATGCCAACAAACATGTGCAAATGGCTGCAGTGTCACTCTGCAGTGAACCTGCAACTTGCGCCAGCAAATGAAGCCTTGACCTGCCTGGGTTGAACAATGGGTACAAGATTGGAACCAGTTCACTCTTTCTAACAGCTGTGGATGAGTGCTTGCCAGGTCTTGGAGTGACTGGGATGAGACACAGCTGCAGGCGCCAGTGAATTCAAATGGACTACAGTAGACCATCCAAGGACAGGATTACTGTAATTGCAGTCCCTTTTGCTTGAGCAGGGGATGGGATAGAATTTGCCGATCCCCCTGCTTATGTATGCCGTGCAACTTTTCTTCCACGCACTTTTACATGCCCTTTCGTTCAAGTGGCGACGGCCTTGCTGACCAGCACATGACACTCCATTGCATGGAGATTTTGTCATCCATGTACCTTTGACTGATTCCGAAGCTGTTCAAGTTCAATTCAGCACTTGTTTAAGGCTATCAGACCCATGTCAGCTCCGCCCAGGCTGACGTGTATCTATTTGTTGACCATTTTGTCATCGACTTTAAGCTCACCACTTACAAAGAATGTGCTTCCCTGGATTACGTCAACCTCCTATGCACGTTTCACTTATTTGTGTATATTTCTGGCGACCCGGCGTTCTTTGCACCTTGTAATTTCTCTTTTTGTTTGTCCTCCCCCTCTTTCTGATTCCCATCCCTCCCTCGCTCTCTCTCTCTCTCCGGGCTCCTATTCTCCTCCTGCGGCTGCGTGCTTCTCACAACACCAAAACACCTATGGTAACGGTAACGAATCCTTTCTGCAAGGACTACGTACTAGCTCATTCTCCAGCCACACTGCACTAGGGCGAAGTCGGCAGGTTTGGGCACGTTTGCAACCCTTATGGGAGGTGGTCAGAGAAGGATCCAGACTCCTGCAACAGTGATACTGTGTTACTGTGTTGTTTTGTTCAATTCGAGGCCTTCGATCACTTGCTTGCAGCTCGAAAGTTTGGGCCACACGAACTTTTGCATCCTCAGGCTAGAAACAAAAAGCTCAAGTTGAGGGAAGTCCTGCCTGACTGCTCATCGCACATGTGCAGGAGAGCTCAGATCAAGGCCAAAGAGATCCTTTTGTAGGGGGGCGTTGTCTACTTCGGGCCGCCTTACAAGTGCATATGCATACATCACAAGGTGAAGGAAATCTCCCTTCTTGCAGGCATGTCCTGGTTGCAAGGCCTAGTATCAGCAGAGTGGCTGGAGCCCTTGCCCGGAGAACCTTGAGAATGTATGTGTACTGCAGTGCATATCTATATATTTAATAATATTTGTTGAATGTCCATTTGCAGTGAGGTGCTTCCTTGGTATTGTCATGGGAATGCTTCTAACGATGGCATACTCCTCGGCATATATCAAACTTTGCACGATAAGTGTTGCAGTTGCAGCTGTGCTTTAATTGCCCACAAGCCAATCTGTGACTTGAATAGAGAGTTGCTTTGTCCAGTGCCATCAGACGCCATTTGGCCCAAAGATAACAAAAGAGGATAGAAAAAGCCAAGACAAACAAATCTAATCTACACAATGATAACTTGACGACCTTCTCTTGTGTGGTTTTGTGCTCCCCCGGAAGCACATAACTCATGGTCCATGCCGACGAGCAGCGGCTATGCTGGCTCCGCAGGTGTCACCTCCACGGCCATTCCTCGCGTTGTTTGGATGCTGTGGTTTCAGGGGTGGGATCGTGCGCCCTATGTATGCCAGAAGTGCAAGAAGCATGGCAACAAAGGTAATGGCTTGCTCGAGTGAGTTTGTAGTAGCCAGTCGCAGTTTTGACAGAAAACCTTATCATTGAAATGTGGGCTAGGCAGCGTGTCGCGTTTACTCGGGACCGCAGCGGACCGCACCAGACCGCCATCGTGAGGAAGTCTTTCGAACTTTGGAATCCAGGGTGGGAGGTGCGAGCGCTCGACGAAAAGACTTTGCCTGATGCTCTCGGTGACTACTGCAAGCAGTTCACATTTCTATGCAAGGCACCTGGGATTTTTTTGATATTTTTTGAAACTCTTTTTATATTCCCGAGAGCGTCTGCGAAGGGTTCTTCGCAAAAAAACATCTGCAGAAGTACACCTCCTCTACATCTTCACATCTTCACCTCTGTACAATCACGTTGTCACCTCTATCTCTGCTCATCTTCACATCTGCGCATCTACATCTCTGCTCATCTTCACATCCTCACATCTACATCTCAGCTCATCTTCATCTTCACACATCTACATCTCTGCTCATCTTCACATCTGCACGTCTACATCTCTGCTCATCTTCACATCCTCATATCTACATCTCACATCCTCACCTCTCGCTCTTCTTAACTTTCTCTCTTAAGGCCGGGGGCAGTGCCGCCGGACCGCCACGAAACGCAACCCTCTGCGGAGATCGTGCGTGTCGAGTGCGCGAAATGCAGG